GAGCTTTTAATAACTTATGTGAACCATTAGCAGCAACAAGATGCACTAATTTGCATAAAAAGTTACCCTTAATTGAAGAGTGTCATTGACATCTTTCAACTGTAAAGATATCAACGGTTGTAATGCTTGTGATATTAGACCTCTTTCGAAACTGATGGCAATTTTGTTGTCGAAGCTGATCTACGCTCCTCAATTGCAGTGTTCGCCTGAGTTTCTTCTCTCATCATAAATCAGTTTTGTAAGCAATTTATTATAAAATAGATATAATGATTTAATTTTTTTTAACAAAAATATTATAATTTTAATATAAATGTTAACTCGAGGAGTGATTATGCATGACAGAGAATGGAGAGAAATATTAAGTAAAATAAATCATGGTCAATATTTAAGTTATCGCAGTATGATTAACACAATTAAAGGGGATTTAGCAAAAAAACATCCACATATATACGAAGAGTGGAAAAAAGAAAAATTTAATATCAATCACTTGTTTTCACTGCAAGATGAAGATATGCGTTATAAATACACATTATTGCATATTTTTGTTTATTATGGCTTAGAGGGTGCAATAAAATCCCTATTAGCAGGAGAAAATGCAGAAGGTGAAGAAGATATTGAACTTTCTGTATAAGATATCATAATTGCAACTATAACATTCACTTGGAGGGTAGGAATGCGTTATAAAAAATATCGTCAAATACTAGATAGAATAAATTCTGATCCAAAGTTAAATCGTCAAGATACAGAAGATCAATATGTAATTGATGCAATAAAAGAAATTTTAAAGGCTGAACATCCAGATGTATATAAAGAGTGGGAAGGCAAAGAATTTGATGTCAATCACTTGTTTCATTATCAAGAACCTGGATATGCATCATACACATTTACGTTGCTGCATGCTGCTGCTAGTTGTAACATGATGAATGTAGTAAAGGCTCTAGTAAAAGCAGGTGCAGATATTAATGCAACGGAGGATGTCTTTAAAAGAGCTCCCTTATATTGGGCTACAGGAAGTAATCACATAGATCTAAATATAATAAGGTTTTTACTAGAAAAAGGTGCACATATTAATGCTATAGATGAATGTGGAGAAACTGCCTTACATTTTGCTGTTAGATTTGGTAATGAAAGTATAGTAAATGTTCTACTGGAACAAGAAGGCGTCCATGTTAATATTGCAGATATAGATGGAATGACTCCTTTACATCAGGCAGTTTTTTATAATTATACAAATATAGTAAATGCTCTATTAAAAAAGGAGGCGAATCCTTCGTGGCAAGATGAGAGTGGTAAAACTCCTTTACATTTGGCTGTTGAATATGGTTATAAAGATGTAATAAAAACTCTATTATTAGCAGGTACAAACACTTCATTAGAGAATAACGAAGGTGATACTCCAATAGATTCAACTATTAGTGATGAGATAAAGGATTTTTTCAAAAATGTAGAAGGTGAGCTGCATAATATGAAAAATAAGAAAATTGGCGATACTGATGCTACACTCAATGAAAATGCCCATAACAGTAGCCTTGCAGAGGTTGATTTAAGCTCCGTTGTGAAATCAACTCAAAGATAAAAATACTGGTGGTTATGTTTATAAATAAGCTAGAAAAAAAAGATATGATTTTTTTATGAAAGTATTATAACTCTAACTATACATTAATTTTAGGAGGGTTATGTGTGGTGAAAAATGGCAAAAAATATTTGATGCTATTCGAGATTTAAGTAATCAGGATATAATTGATAAAATAAAAGCAGTTTTAGAGGCAGAGTATCCAAATATATATAGAGAGTGGGAAAAAAGTGATTTTGATATCAATCATTTATTTACATTTCTATATGGATATACACATGATAAATGCACATTATTGCATATTTCTGCTTATTTTGGTCTAGAAAACGTAATTAATATTCAATTAGCAGCAAAAGATGTGGATGTTAATGCTAAATCTCAAGGTGGTAATACAGCGTTACATTTGGCTGCTAAAAATGGCTATATAAAAATAGTAAAGACTCTATTAGACAAAGGGGCAAAGGTTGACATTGTGGATCACAATAAACACACCCCTTTACACTGGGCTGCTGAAAGTGGTAACTCAGATGTAGCAAGGATTCTATTAGAAAACGGTGCAGGCGTTAATGCTAAAAATCACGATTGCGAAACTCCTTTACATTGGGCTGCTGACAATGATCATACAGAGGTAGTAAAGGTTCTATTAGAACACGGTGCAAGAGTTGATATTATGGATAAAGACGGAGAAACTCCTTTACATTGGGCTATTGAAATAGGTCATATAAATGTGGTTACGGCTCTATTAGAAAAAGGAAATATTAATGTTGACATAAGAGATGAGCTTGAAAAAACTTCTCTACACTGGAGTGTTCTGTATGATCAGATAGATATCATAAAAGTTCTATTAGCAAAAGGGGCAAATGTTAATGCTACAGATATAGATAGGGAGACGCCTTTACATCATGCTGCCTTTTATGATAATACAGATATAATAAAGATTCTATTGGCAGCAGGCGGAGATTCTACATTACAGGATATCGAAGGTGAGACTCCTATAAACTTAGCTGAAAGTGATGAGATAAAAGATTTTTTCAAGAATGCAGAAGATGAGCTGCATAATATGAAAAACAAGAAAATTGGCGATACTTATGTCTCGTTCTATGAACTTCTGCAGGCAGATAAGTCTCTTTTACAAAACTATGCGCGTAATACTAATTTATGTATAGAGTTGAGAAAAGGTCAATATAAAAAAGATTACCTTATATATGCTTCAATGATAGGTGATCAATATAAGATCATAGAAAAAAGAAGATGTCTAGAGGAAAGTGCTAGAATAGCAATTGGATGTTTTGGTACACAGGTAGAAAAAGGAAATGGAAAATTGGTCTATACAGTAATAAGTGAAGAAATGTGTAGATCGATCACTAGTTATCTTACAGATGTTGATGTCTTAGATTTAGTTCGACAGTCAGTTGTAAGAGATAAAAAGACTCGTGATTACGTTTATAAATAAGTTAAGTAAGCTTTTGTACCTAGAAGAAATAATGTGATTTTTCAAAAGTAATATAAATTAACTATATTTTTAGGAGCGAAGTTATGGAAAGTGAGGAATGGCAAAAAATATTAGGTAAAATCAATTCTGCTGATGATTTAAATTCCAATACTGTAATTGATAAAATAAAAGAAATTTTAAAGGTAGAACATCCAGATGTATATGAAAGATGGGGAGAAGGTGCATATGAAGGATGGGGAGAAGTAGGACTTGAGTTTGATATTGATTACTTATTTCAATATGAAGAATTTAGAAGGCCAATATACATGTTCACACTATTACATGCTTCAGTTAGTTATAAACTAATAAGCACATTAAAAGCTCTCTTAGCAGCAGGTGCAAATGTTAATGCTGTAGACATAGATGAAAATACCCCTTTACATCTAGCAGCTTTATTTGGTCATATAGATATAGTAAATCTTCTATTACAAGAAGGTGCAGCAGTTCATGCTAGAGATAGACACAATAAAACTCCTTTACATTGGGCTGCTCAAAATGGCTATATAGAGATAATAGAGATTCTATTAGAAAACGGTGCAAATATTAATGCTGTAACTAAAGATAAAGAAACTCCTTTACACTATGCTGCTCTTTCAGATTATGCAGATATCGTAAATCTTCTATTAGAAAACGGTGCAGAAGTTAATGCTATAGATAAACGTAATAAAACTGCTTTACATTGGTCTGCTGGAAACGAGCATATAGACGTAGTAAGGACTCTATTAAAACACAAAGCAATTCCTAGCCTGAGGGATAGTTATGATCAAACCCCCATGAGCTTAACTTGGAATAATGAGATAAAGCAGCTTTTGCATAATTCAGAAGGAAGAAACGTTACTGCTTGGGCAATGCCTGTAACGTTAACAGTTATTATAATTATCTCACTTGCTGTTTTTATGATACTTGGTACCGTTGCATACAAAGCATTTGAACCTAGCACTGAAGTAGATGAAGTAAGTATAAATGATAAAGTTAGCAAGATTATAGTGTAAATAGTCTTGATAATAAAGAATTATACTAAAAAGTGCTAAAAGGCTAAATTATAAATAAATTTAATTAATTTTTTATTAAAGATGTTGACATGCCAATTTTGCATGATATATTTATGATAGTTAATTATTGAAGTAATATAAATATGAGTTTTAAAAATCCTATAAGTCGTGACACAAAAGAAAAATTCTTACTATATGGACCTTATTCTTTAAGAGCAACCGGACTATCTACTGCATTCTTTATGCTCTCTCTACCAACCGGCATTTTGCTTGCTGCACGGTTTACAGATCCAGCAAAATTAAACAATTTAATACCAAAGAGCATGCAATTTTTTAATGTTCGTGGGTTGGAGCACATGAGACCTCAATTTAATGCTTGGATCTACATGGGATTAATTTTTGCAACATTAGTAACTGCCGCTGCCATTTATACGATTTGTAAAATGCATGCAAACTCCAAAGACATTGGGCAACATCAATTGCTGGGAGAATTGCTTGATAAGACAACTCAACAAACAGTCTTGTACCATGATGAAGTAAATGGTGTTCATCATCTAATGTTAGGTAAAGAATATCCTCTTGGCTGTATGGTAAAAAGCAAATCTGGAAATAAAAAGGTTATGCTTGGTAAACCTGTAGAAGGTGTGCATCAGGAGTCTACAAAGGGATGTATATATCCAGTTACTTCATACCACAACCATAAAGATGATAAGGAAGCACAAGAAAATAAGAGAACATCAAAAGATTTACCTAAAGATTTTTTCAAAGGAGAAGCAAGTAAAAGTGAAACTACAGTATATGCACTTAATCTTACAAGATTAAATGAAAAATTAGCTGACGTATATACTGGACAACAAAATAAAACACAAGACCCTACACCAAGCTTATAAAAACCCAATTTTATAAAGAGCTTCTAATTAAGAAGCTCTTTATTTTTATTAAACGGCAAAGGCAAATTAAATTATATATGTATTAAACAGCAAATAAGTTATGTATGTCATGTATTATAAATTCTGGCTCTTGGTTGTATCGAAAACTCAATTCAGCTCCATACCCACCCATCATATTGCCATAATCGTCATGAAACATTGCATTAACGTAAAAATGATCAGATTGGTTATCGTATTTTTCCACAATTTTTATCTTGTTGCCAGGTGATGAATCTCTTATTATATCATACTCATAAGTTTTTTTGCAGTGACCATCTGTACACAATATCTCAGCTTTCATGTCACCTTTATCCGGCTTATAATTTTCTGGCAGTTGATATATTGGCTTGTCTCCAGCAAAAACTGCCAAATTTATATTTCCATCTTGCTGATTAAACTTAACAATATAATTTTCTTCGTTATTCTCTTCTTTTTCTTGCTTAAAATTATTTACTAAAACTTGTAGTTCATTCAAATTTAATGCGTTCATAAGCAACTCTATAATAAAAATTATTTGTACATAACAGGGTAGATAAAGTCA